TCTGCTTTAAAATAGATCTCCATATGATCTGTGTATTGGACTGTAACACTCTATTCAGGTGTCATTAATAGATATCCTTTATCCACTGGTATATAAGACACAAAATCAATTCAATTTCCATCATTATCACCAGAATTATTTTCAGAAAATCAACTCTAAGATCAAGAAGATACCTCAGTGCTCTGCATCCTTGGGAGGATGTGTATTAAACATTTGTTAGATGACCAATCTATTCATTCGATTTAGATTATGGGCCATATGTTTTTCTTCAAATTGATTGAATGGCATGGTTGTCATTCTGGAGGACTCTCTGTTGTCCTCACTCGGAGAAGGTAGATTAATGAATAGATCAGAACTACCACATCCAGTTTTCTCCATGTCCTCTGCAGATTAATTTTCCATTAACTCCTCTGTAAACTTATAAGCATCTACTCTGAAAAAAGCCAGACTCTAGAAATCCCAGTTGAATTAATCTTTGGTAGGGGCTAAAAATGTTTTATCATGGGAAATATTCTCCATCTGCCCATGTCTGCTAAAAGTAGGGACATAACGTAAACATTAGTGTTTCATCCTGCACACACACGCACACACATGCGCACGCACACACACATACACACATACACACACACACCACAGTAAAAATATAAAAGTAATATTTTAAGTGATATGTAAGAATAAGAACATAGAAAATAACTTGTATAATAACTTAAACTTTTGTTCATATTAACTATACATCATTGAGCATTCTAACTCACATTAGTCACTCATCAGGCATTGAGAACACAGTATACATGTCACTTTAGTAAGCACCAAGGAATATAACAATAAGCACACTTCCTACAGGAAGTCATATTGCCTCTGTTCACTTTCCCCCTCAATCCAGAGAACAAACAACAGGAATATCATGGAGACTTTAGCTTTTGCCCAAGGAGGAATTTGTCTCTTGCAAAAAAAAAAAAAAAAAAAAAAAAAGAAGAGATCAATCCTTTGAATAAAATATAAAAGTTTACTCTTGGGGTGCTGGGTAAGCATCTGACTTCAGCTCAGGTCATGATCTTGTGGTTCATGAGTTTGATCCCTGCCATCCAGCTTTGTGCTAACAGCTCAGAGCCTGGAGCCAGCTTCAGTTTCTGGGTCTCCCTCTCTCTCTGCCCCTCCCCTGCTTATTCCCTCTCCTCTCTCTCTCTCTCTCTCTCTCTCTCTCTCTCTCTCTCAAAAATAAATAAACTTTATTTACTCTTTAAGTGACTTTATTGCTTATGTTCGCTCTTTAAATGACTTCATAGCGTATCATATTGTAAAAATTCCTCCTCAAGGGGAGGAATAAGAAATTTCTGGTTTGGACCTACTTAATAAGTACCTAAATAAAATAAATTTTAACATATATAAATAATTTTGAATAACTCTAAAATAGCCATACACTTCCTTTTTTTAAAGTTAACCATGGGCTCATTTGTTTTGTTTTATTGTTCTTTGTGAAAGCACCATTTCCTGGTTTCAAAACCTAAGGAAAAGTAGAAAACATTTGTTTTAATTATCAAAAATTTCTGGAAGAAGTGATTTTTGAATAAAATTATCTGGATAAAATGCCTACTTGGTTAAATGGTGTATAAATTCATTACTCTTCAGCATCTCAATTCCTTTCCTCCCCCTTATTTCTATTACAAAGAAAATATGGGTACAGAGTCACACAAGAATTCTTTAGATTCTGTAGAATGTGTATTTTCTTCATAAAGCACATTCTGATTACTGTGTCACATAAAGTCATGATACTACTAATTCTATAAAAAAGAAAGAAGAAACTACCCATTTCCAACTTTTGAACCATGTTAAGCTTCATTTGAATACAAAAAGCCTTTATACATTGCTATTTATTAACATTATTTTTATAAATGTTATATTTAAACTTCATGTATTTATTTACTTACTTGCAATTTTTAATTGTGAGAAATGTTAGAGATTTAGGGCAGTATGGAAAAAAAAGAAACTTAAAACTTTTATGGAAAATATAACTACAGAACACGTAAGACTGAAAATAATACATTATTTTTATTTGCATGTAGTTCTTTTAATAATATTAGACAAAAAACCATTTTAAATTAGACCTAATAGTATTGTTATAGCAAAAGATGGGGTAACTTGTTCTTAAATCTTCAAGGCCAGTACGAATTAAAAACCAGCTGCAGTTAGTTTTAAGATTCTATATAGGATCTGGATACAGTGACCCAACTTGATCTGTCATGGCAGGATCCTTACCTAATACATGTTTTTTTTATATTACCACTTCCTCAAGGACCTAGGACTGTGCCTTATGTTTAGTAGGCCCTTAATAAATTCTGAATGAACTGTTACCTGTTTTATGCTCCATTAATAAAACTAAGACCTCTGGGATCAGACAGTACTTTATACTTTTGCGTCAACTGACTTTCCATCTTGAAGATTCCCATTCATCTTCTGTTTCCCTAGATCAGTGCTTATGAAATTAACCAAGTAAAATAAACACATTTAGTATTTGATCCACATCAAAAAGCCCTTAAAAATGCTTTGATGTGCAAGCAATAGCACTCAGTGTCCTCTTTGGTCTTCAGTGTCCCCTCATTTGACAACTTTGTGGTTCTTGCCTTAAAGAAGTGGGAGAATCTTTTTTGTTTTAGCTTATTATTTATCCATAAAGGAAGCCTTTCTGGAAGTTAAAAGACATATTTTAGAAAGGAGAAGCATACCCGCACACAAAGTTAAAATTTGATTCTCACGTCTTTAGATGAAGAGATCCCCAGACTCACCAATATCCCAGAATTGAGTTTTGTGTTTCCTTAGTGAAGTGGTTCTAAGACTTTACATTACCATAAATCCAATCTTGCTTGTTGATGATATCAAGTTTCTTTAAAGTACTTTCTGTTGGGTTTGTTAAGAGTTACTTAATTTTCTTTTCTGGTATCAATCTAATTATAACCAACAAAAAGTTAAGCAATGTCAATATACTAGATTGTGTGGGTAGAATGCTCAAGTTTTAAGCTGCCCTCTCTTATTTAGAAAGATGTCCTGAATTCCTTTATCTGACATGGAGCCTAACCATAGAACATCTGGTTTTCTCCTACCTATTTGAAATTCACAGTGTAATCAATAGCCTCGCTAAATCCAGGGGGTGCTGTACCCATAGAGCTTTATGTCTGAGTAATATATGGATGTGCTTGTGGGCTTGTTTCTGCATCTTCCCACAAACTAGCTGGGAGTCTGAGAAACTTCATTAAAAAGACATTTGTCAGGATGCTAGAGGAAAAGGAAAATCCTCCACAGACTATTTACCTAATTTCCAGCCAATACAGGATTACTCCCACCAGGAATCATTTATTGCTTTACTGGCCTAAGTGATGGCACTGTTAGCATCTCTTTTGGCTGATTGCTTTGCAATCTAGTTGCTTTCAGATGTGAGAAAAGCTACCTTAATATTCATACAGAACTTCTGTCTCGCTTCATTTCTTCCAACATTGATCTTACCATGTCCCGTGGGCAAAGTTTATCCTCTGCTTATTGAAACCCAAATGTATCAGAGTCACACAAGGAAGGTGTTTGGGAAAAGGCTTGTGCACATTTTAGTCAGCCCACCAAAATGTTCCCAATGGCTGCTTATTTCATTTGCTTCTCTCCTGCCTACCCTTACGGGAGACCACAGTCACTGGCCAGCAGATTTTAAATTTACCAATTGATACTGAAAACAGATTATGGTGTGATTGGATTAATTTATGCACTTCTTGTTGGAAGCTTGATATCTTAACTTCAGCTCAGACTTGATATGAAAGGAATTTTTAAAATTCTGAACGTATAGTCTGTTAACAAGATTTGGGTTTGTTGCTCACAACTGTTTTGCAAATAAAATGATGGGATCTTGAGAAAGCTTTAGCAAGAGGAGTGTCTGGGATGCCAAAGAATGTCACAAGAGCAGGACTTAAAAGAAGAAAAATAAAATCTAAGCAATGTGAGAAAACATCCTATGTTATTGTAGCTGAGTTCCTCAGGTGGCTTCCTCTATGTCATCCACTGATTCTAACTGCTCACAGAAATAACTCTCTGAAGTGAAGAAATGGAATATTAGCTGTATTCTTCTATGTGTTTGCATATAAATTCAACTCCCAAATGTGTTCTTATAAATTTTCTACTTAATAGACATTCTAGAATTCAAAATCTAAAAAAACTAATTACAGTTCCACAAATGTACCAATAGAAAAATGTATCACCTGTGGTGAAATATCATTAATTAAATTTGGATGATAGCACAATTCTAGTTATTTCTGGCTCAATTCTCTTCAATACTGCTTTTACAACTGTTGCACACCTACTGGAAAGCAGTGCTTCCAATAATGTGGTGTTAAAGAAGCCTTCTTTCTTCCCTGCTGTGTTTTTAAGAAAAATTCAGAACAGGTATGTGAGCTGTGCCATAACCCCATTCTTGACTCTGTATCTAATATCTCATTCCCAGGCACCTGTTTTGCACATACCACAAGGACTGCTCAAAACCCAGTTATAAGACAAAATGTGCAGTCCCCTTGTAGGATAATAATGATAATTTGCCACAAAGTCGTGTCAGATGGATGGACCTCTTGCAGCATGAAAGAGGTGGGGGTCTGCCTCTCTAGGAGCCATGGCCAGCACCCTTTCTGTTCTGAGAGGTTACACTGGGACTCAAACCACTGCTGTACCTTCTGGGGACACTTTTATAAGGAGATTGGTAGAAAAAAAAGTGGGGACAACTTTTCAAAGAGGAATTGAATTTAGCTTTTTGTAAAAAAGAGTCTATTTTAATGACAGATTTTTTGACACATAGAAAATAACATTTTTTCACAAAACATAATGGTATTAATAGTCTCAGACTTTCTTTGAAGTAGCCAAAATACCTTGTTCAATTGTGTGTGTGTTTTAAAATATTTATTATTTTTGTCTGTTTCATTATGCTTTCATGCTGTATATCCACTAACATGCTGATATGTTTTCCCAACAAATAGGTCGTCATGGAGATGGAGGTTATTGGCCAGTTGATACTAATTTGATTGATAGAAGCACTCTCAATGGTAAGTCTATCAATTAGATTCTATTGGATTAGTTATATTAATTAAATGGTTAATTCTAGAGTGTCTGAGGCAATTTTTTTACTTACTGAAAGTGTTAAGAATCCCAGACCTAGGATTTTAGTGGGGTAATAGAAGTATTAAGTTATATATATAAAAAAGAAATATGAAGTTATTAGCAAACCTGTAGTACATTCTACCAGGAGATAATGCCAATGAGAGTTGAGTGCACAAAATAGTCAGTTGAAAAGTTCAAGCATGGAAAATTTTATAAATGATTCAGAGTTGTTAATAATATAATATCTAAATTTTAAAGTGTTATATGTATTTCAAAGGTTTCCAGGGGCTCCTGGGTGGCTCAGTCGGTTGAGACTTCAGCTCAGGTCATGATCTCACGAGTTGCGAGTTCGAACCCCACATCAGGCTCACTGTGTCAGCACAGAGCCTGCTTCAGATCCTCTGTCCCCTCCCTTCTGTCCCTCTCCCACTCTCTCTCACTCACATTAAAAAAATAAAGGTGGGGCGCCTGGGTGGCGCAGTCGGTTAAGCGTCCGACTTCAGCCAGGTCACGATCTCGCGGTCCGTGAGTTCGAGCCCCGCGTCGGGCTCTGGGCTGATGGCTCAGAGCCTGGAGCCTGTTTCCGATTCTGTGTCTCCCTCTCTCTCTGCCCCTCCCCCGTTGATGCTCTGTCTCTCTCTGTCCCAAAAATAAATAAACGTTGAAAAAAAAATTAAAAAATAAAAATAAAAAAATAAAGGAATAAAATGTCTCCAAAAATTTAATATTATTAGAGAAACGTGATATCTAAGGGAGATTGAACTGAAACCCACTTAGTTTCCTAAACTGAAGTCACTAAGAATTTTTGCTTAGAGAATTTACTCTTCAGAATCCTTTAGCAACTTATTGCTAATTTTTCTTCACACTCTAAGGATTAAACATTTATTTCTGCTCATCCTGATGGACCATTCATACGCTTCAGGGTCGGCCAGAAATAATATCTAGCACTGCACAGAAGAAGCAGTTGGTGTTAGTGTTGGAGCTGTCTTCTAAGATCTTGTCCTCAGTTTTGCTGAAACAGAAACTTTGGGAGAATGAATTAATACAAGCCAAACTTCTAAGGGACTGATGTATATATGATAAGTTCCTTTCATAGGTTTTTAAAAATTTGTTCAGTTGCTGTTGTTTGGTTTGGTTTGCTAGATATATAGTTCATACATTCGAAACACAAATATGAAAACTTGTGTACTCATCAGCAAGGTTAAAATATAAAATATTCAACATATAATTGATATCTGTTATATATCTCTGCCTTATCACATGCTTCTCCACCATTTCCTCCATTCCCTATTGATGTAACCACTCTCCCAAATATGGTTTTTACTATATAGATATATATCCCTAAACATTATAATATTACTATACATGTTTATCACTTTATAAAAATGGCATCATAGGATACGTATCTTGTTGCATCTTGCATTCATCTTTAATTTTGTTTTTAAGATTCATCTGTGTGTTTACAAATACTCCTAGTATTTTGTTTTATGAAAATAACACAATATGTTTATACAACAATTTTAGCAGGTTTTCATGAAAAATTTGATTTCTGAATAGATAAATATTCATTTGAATGCTCTTCTATTTAAAAATCCATATGGGTTGGGACACCTGGGTGGCTTCGTCGGTTAAGCTTCTGACTTTGGCTCAGGTCATGATCTCACAGCTTGTGAGTTTGAGCCCCACATCGTGCTCTGTGCTGATGGCTCAGAGCCTGGAGCCTGCTTCGGATTCTGTGTCTCCCTCACTCTCTGCCCCTCCCCCACTCATGCTCTGTCTCTCTCTCAAGAATAAATAAAAATTAAAAAAAATTTTTAATAAAAACAAAAATCCATATGGGAAGCCAAATTGCAATCTAAAAGTTGCTTACTGAGTGAGAAATTGGAATAAGGGGTTCAGCTAAGTGATTATTTCCTATTATAGGTAATGATAACCTAATGCATCTATTTTCTCAAAGAGGACATGTATGTATGTGCAGTAGACCAGATGCTCCATTTAAAGGCTCAGCATCCCCTCCTCTGTCCAGTATTGGATTCAGGAACATATATTTACCTGTTGACTTCTTTTCTAATTACCAGGCATACCCTCTTCTGCTATTAATGCAGTTTACTTAACCAGATAAGTATAAGTTCTTACATTTAAGCTTCCTAAATATATTCCAATCATACCTGTCTAAGGTTATACCCAGAATGCTCTCTCCAGGTTGCTACAGTCCTCACCGCCTCCTATTGTCTTGTACACACATCCTCTACCCACATCAAGTAACATTATTGTCTCCTATAGGTATTTGAGGATTAGACACCTTCTATAGCTGGTGCCTGGATCTGATAGTTTCCAGGCTCTCAGACACACAAGGAACACTTTAGGAAGCTCACAACAGAAAGTTGAGAGGAGGGATGTGTTGGGACTGAAAACAGACGAAGGGCCTGTTCCTTCAATAGGTTTAGATAATGATGGTTCCCTTCCCAAAACTGTGCAAGTTTTATCAACTCATTCTTTTGCTTCAGATTTTATCTCAAGAGTCAACAATATGCCAAACACACTTCATGCATTCAAGTAATCAGTTAGAAATGCCCCTAAGCCATCACTGTGTGCAGGGTGCTTGCTATGAACTATGCACACAGATTGAAAACTAGACCTCCACAGGAACAACAAATGAAGAGGGGGAATTACCCAGGTGGACAAGGCAGAGGAATACGCTTCAGAAAGATGAAAGAGAGTGAGAAAAATCTCAGGGATATGAAGGAGGGTAAAAAGAAGGTCATCATTGAAATCGTGTGGGGAAATAACATTGTAGTGTTTTTTGCCCTGAGATGGGTTCTAGGTTTAGAGTCCATGCCAGGAATTAGCATGATCCCCTTTTTAGAGTCATACTGCAGAGCTGATTTTCAGATATGGTTTCTACAGAGAGTTTCAAAATGGAATTCATCCGCAGCTAAGGGCTGACTATCTATACTGGCACAGGATGGTGTTTTTTGAAGAGACAGAGTGCCAAGAAATTAAGAGAGAGCCAGAACAGTTAATTGAGAAGGAACACTTGTCCCTTCACTGTTTCTACCCTCTAATAGGCAGTGGTCATGCATGTTAAAGGTGGAGCAAGTGTAAGCCACAAACATAAAACTAGGCATTCTCTTAAACGACATGTCCTGAAGAACTCTAATTTTGAATAGAATTTTCAAGTTTAGCAAGTAAAAATACAGGAGGCCAGAAAATTTGAATCCTTTCTAATCACCTATATATGAGATAAAGGAAAATATTGCAAGAAATTTCCATTTCAATGTATGTATGCATCCCAAGGTGCACATGTATAGGTGACTACAAATAACTGAAATTTGATTGAGCCTCCTGTATTTTTAATTACTAAATATAGCAGTCCTAATTTTGGATCAAGTTTGAAAGTTTGGTATTGACTATTTGAATTTGCCCTTCAAAATAAAGTGAGATTTCTGAAAAGAAACCCCAGACCAAATTTGATGCTAACAGGTTAAGTCAACAAGAACTTTTCACAGGAGTCAGATCTCAGATGAAGAGAATTATAGTAATTGATGGGAATGCATGTTATTGTATTCTTTTTTTTTTTTGCCATTTAAGATTCCTAGTCAGAAAAATAATTGCAATTAAATTTAGTCTGATATACATTATATCACTAGAGAAAGTCATGAAGATAAAATAGAGGAACAATAGCCAGTGACTTTGAACCAGTTTAGATAGATCATTGCCCATCACCCCTTCTCAATTTTCTGCAACACATAATGATGTTTTAGGTGTTTCATGTTAAATGAATGGGATGAACAAAGCACCTGAATCATTTCTAGAATCTCTACTGGAATCACGAATTATTACAGGCTACTTGATTGAATTGATAACCTCTAAGAGACATGGATGGTGGAGAGCAAACTCAATCTGTTTCCCATTCTATTTTTCTAACTGATAAATGATGGTAAATATGTAATTTGACTTTAGCTTAGGTTATTACGAGCAAATCAGCAAAGGCATCTGAAAAACCCTACCTTTCTAATTAAAGTTCTGCTAATGTCTTATTATGCCTTAAGAAGGGTTATTATTTCCAATCCAATGTACAAATGAAACCTTGCCTGATAAAACTCCAAACCCACCCAACCTAGGCTGAGTCAACAAAAACATTTTAAAATCTGAGCTTTTAAACCTCATACACCAGGAAATTTTCATATATCTCCTCTTAGAGTGACAGAATTAGAGTTTTCCTATCTCTCCCTACACTTCCTGTATTCATCCTTCAAAGAATTATAATAGAATAATGGCTTATTGTCGGGATCCTCAAGCTAGTTTCAAATAAATTGAGACCTCACTAGTCACTTACTTTCTCTTACAGCATGCCACTCTTTAAAAATGCACTCTTGGAATTCAAATAAAAACAAAGCTATAGTTCATGTTTACTCTTGTAGTTGTAAGCCCTTAATTAAATTGAGGAAACTGAAGAGTCTTCCTAAATTATTTTCTTATGACAGATAGAATCAAAGCTAATAGGTACTGATATGGTAGTATTTTACTTTTGTGGTGTATTCAATTTTGTGGTCCACATTCTCAAAGCAGGAAAATCTTCAACTTCTGAAAATGTGATTTTGTAGTTTATATTTGTATGAATACAACACTGAAAATCACTTCAATCTTGCTGTTCTCATTGGGAAAGATAAATCAGCATTTTTTTTTTGTTGATGGATCTGTGTGTAATTTATAAAATTAGTAATTTTGGTTAAGAGATCTATAATCCCTATAAATATGCGGTTGTATTGATCTCAACCTTTAAAACCCAAATTAACTTTGATAAGTTGATGCTTTGGTGAAATATTTCTAAAAATCAATATCATTAATTTTTAGATATTCAGAATCATATTAGGTGTTCTGTAAAATATGCCTTACACTGTGTGTTTGGGAGAAAAGATCATGACTTGACCCTTACTCTTTT